TTTAATTTTCTTTTTACGGAATATTGAAGTAAATTAATGTAATAAACAATTCTGAAAGCCGATTTATTCACATTACCCATTGGAAGGAATAATAGGAAATATGCAGCGTATACATAATAAACAACATTATACCAGTTGATGGCAGAACTGATGCTAAAGTGGGGCATCGACCGTATTTCACATTACTAATCGATTGTATTTTAATATAAAAATACCACAATGGCAATAAATAGGTACACATAGCAATTTATAAGGTGGGATAAATTAAAAAGTTGAAATATTATCATATAATTAGGATAAATAGTGCAGAAAAATACTGGAAGGACCTTTAGATGTTTACTGTATGCAAATAAAAATCGTGATTAAATTATAAAGAGGAAAAAATTTATAGTTTATTTAATGGATAAACTATTCAATCAATTTTAAGTCTTTCATCCATATAAAATTGCATTATCAGCAAGTAACATAGGCTACATATTATTTTCGAAAATTCTATCTATCCGTTTTTTACTCAACCTCTCTCTTTACTCAACCGCACTTAAACGACTAAACGAGTTTGAATGAAATTTACTACATCTTTGTCATATTTGCAGGTAAGTTGCTCGAAAACCTAACAACCGATGAGGAAGAAAGGTTCTTGAATGATGACCCCGTACAGGTAAACGCAGTGTAAAGAATTAAGGCAGCCGTTCCATCTAGTGGGGGAGGCCCCATTTGATATAACAGCAACCACAAATCCCTGCATTGCAAAAAGTTAATGAATGCAAGTTCAAGACCGTTTCTTACGGCACTATACGGGGAAAGCCTATGTGTTGATAATGATGATATGTAAGTAAAGCCGCGAGTTATATCTATAGTTTCATAATTTTATGTTAACCATAACAAATTATTATTATCATGTCATAAAGATACAATCAGATTTATTAAGATTTGATCAAAGTAAGAAATAACAATAATTTATTACATAAGTCGGTTGGTAACTTGCCCAAGTCTCTGTAGCAGTCCCTCAGCGGCTACGTAACTATTAGCCCTCATTAGCCAAGTGTAAAGTGTAGGACGAGTAGGAATCAATTTTCCTTACTACTCTTTCTACATAGTTTTGGTTATAAGAGAAGTATTAAAACGAAAAAAGTATTATTTTAAAGAAAATATGGATGTGAACAATTATAAGGGCAGAGAAAGAAAGATCAAAAAAAAAAGAAATTAATGAATTTTTTGTAAGATGATATAGCAAGTAAGTGAGTGAATACTGAGATAACTTCAAATAGAGATGAATGAAAGAGAAAAATACATTACGCCGACCCCAAATGATATGGGATAAGGACAGGAAGAAGATGGAAGTATGAAGACGATAAGCGAATACAAATGTATTGCAAATGCAACCCTAATATTTAATAGCTGATTTGCAAATTTACCCACGTGGAGTAGGATAAAAGTATTCTATGTGCTAATTTAAAGATATAGATAATACCTATATATATATATATATATATATATATATATATATATATATATATATATATATATATATATATATATATATACTAATTTCAAATTAAATCCGTTCAGCCATTTAAATAATATGAATAACTATCTAAACTTTCATATTTATAGTTGTCCGCCCCGACTTCAAACCTATGTAGGTATTACTAAAGAAAATGAGACCAAATCTTCCCTTTTATAATTTTTACTTTTGCGTATAATTTTACAAATACTCTCTATCATATAAACTTTATCCCGACAATTATAAACAGAACAAAAAAGAATAAGCTAAAAAAGTGCCAGCGTTCTAAAGTGATGCGCTTATAATTTTTTTTTATGCAACTTAAAATGACAAACGATCTAAAGGCTCACCTGATGGAAAATGGTATTCGTCGTCTATAGACATGTACAGTACCATGAACATAGCAGAGTATACTGTATATTTTTATTTAAAAATAAAGCTCTGAAACTAGTCAGATAATATTTTCTTTATGGTAAACTAATATAATATATAGGTATTGAGTATACAAATAAAAAACTGCAACATTTTACATGACTATTTAAAATGTTGCATTTAACATCACAAAGTGTTACCAACTTCCCATACAATACTGATATGAGAGTGTCTATTTGTTCGCCTATATAACAATATCCTGATAACAATTAACGGCATTAGTATGCAACGATAAGTAGAAAGTATACAAATGGAAAACACGCGATATACGTACTACTATGTTTTGTTTTGCCCTTTACCGTCACCTACAGGGTCATTTTTCCATCCGGTTAAAAAAAATCCTAACTATCAAGTAGGAGTAAACAATACACATTTATAAAAAAATTCTGAAGGTAATAAAATAGATGAGCCCTGTGAAGGAGTGTCATAAAAGATGAATAAGAAAGGATGAGGGATGGGCAGCAGTGTTCTTCTTAAAACATCTTCAAAACCTAACTGCGGTTGCCAATCCGCCTGCCAAGCACCTACTGACAAATCCCCTCAAGGACAAGCTTATGTTAAGCAGTGGACAGTTAAAGGGTGATATGATGATGATGATAAAATCCTGTTTATTACGTATAGTATATATTCTAAGCTTCTTCTTCTTCTTGAATGAAACATCTCTGATGATGCTTCTTCTCTACATAAAATTTTATAATATATTCATGAACTTACTATGCCTAAAAGACCCTAAAAGGTTTTGTAGACAAATATCCATAATTTCATCATGTCCGTTTAAGCATTTTTCCGTATGTTACAGAATCATAATTATTTCAGTATATTGTCGAACGATACGAAACTATACAAGAAAAATGTGTTTTTAGACTGACCTACCCACGAGTTATAACAAGCGATAGAATACATAGCTAACAATGTGCCAGATATAAAGATTGGACGTTAAAGAGAATCTTATAGTATGCTATCATAACTAATCAATACTATAGTGTATTCTATGCCGTGTGATCCCGGCATGGAACGCTCCTTCCTTTCCCGTAGGTATCATAAGAGGCGATTAAGGAAACTTTTGAGAAGACCGAGGGATGAGCAACAGCGCCCTTCTTCGTTACCAACTCGCACGCCAATCGTGGCAACTAGTGGTTCCCACCCTACTTTAGAGAGAGGTCTATGTTCAGTAGTAGACAGTTAACGGCTGATATGATGATGATGATGATGATGATAATATTATATTATTATTATAATAATAATAACCGGCAATTATGAGCTAAAAACTTAAAACATAATTATAAGTACCTACAACCGTAACTATGCTGCTTCCAGATTATTAAAATTGTTACCTAAATCTATCTTTAAATACTAGAATAAGGATTTTTGATTATACCCAATAACCTTGAGAAAGAATTCTCATAAATTTTATAAAAAAAATCCAGTCAAGTGTAAGTTGAACTCACTCGCCTAGTCAGTATTTTTTACATAAAATATTTAAATTAAAAGAAGTACCTGTTCCATTTTTTTTTCTTTTGGTAAGAAACCATCTACTAACGACTCAATACTACCTACGACTCATATTGAAGGAATAAAGATTTATTTGTTTGTACATGTGGTAGTTACACATAATTTGTTTGTAGTAACTAGTACTTAGAGCGGTTTCTGACATCGTTAGTCGAGGGTTAAAAGGGGTAAGTATAAAGTCCCTTTAATTCTAAAGGTACAAGGGTGGAACGGATTAAATTTTTTCCATATTTAACGATGTTATAGTTATTTTCGTTGATATAAGTATTATTTATATATTTATTTTTATGAAGATTGGTGATTGATTTAGATGATTTTACACACACATACAAACATATATATATATATATATATATATGTTTGTATGTGTGTGTAAACATATAACTGTACCTTCATTTTTTAGCAAATTCTTTTTATCAAATGTAGTTTACGTGTATTTTGTTCAATATCATTAGTACGCACTCGTACCAACATTTGGTGTTGCGGACTGGCCGCTATGAATAATAATTATAATTGTATAAACCTAATGTAATTACAAATATGTATAACCAAAAATATGTAAAAAAAAATATTACCAACTTGTAAAGTAAAACGATCATAATCTTCATCTTTGTATCCATTCTTTGTGCTCTACTGAACCTAGTCCTCTATACCAATAAACAACAATACAAAAAACAATACCAAAAATACCGATAAAAGCACTTAAATTATCTTATATCCCTTTATCAGATTTCAAAATATCGCGCGATATTATTACATTGTTATGTATGTATGTAATGTTGTAATGAAATACTTCACATTTTCGTCCGTGTAATATTTATTTACGAATTGATTAACTACAGGCTGTTCTGATTAACGTAATTAATAAGTACTTTCTTATCGGAATTTACAACCAATATGGCATTAAGTCGTAATTTCTCATATATGAGACAAGCGTCGTAGAAGCCACTGCTGTCTAATCCTGGTTCTTGTGTCAACGCTCACGGAATCAACAGTTACCGATATTTGGAAACTCCATTGTAGAGCTGTACGACAAATAAACCACTGCTCAAGACATGCGCAGTAAGAAAAAAGAAATACATCACGTGCAAGAAAAAGTCGTCTATTCCATTTTTTCTACGCCTAGTATCATATTTTTGCATTAGTAATACATACAAAGCAATCATAAATTTAATAACGTACCTAACATAAATTGAAATTGTCTTAAAATGAGAGTGGATAGCGTCGAAGAAACGGCTCCACAAATACCTGTACCGATGATTCCCTGTGGTTTACGATTTTACAATCTAACTTTAGAAATATAAACCAGATGGCTAGCTAACACTCAATAGAAATATTTGAATACACTTTACTCACACAAATATAGATTGAAAGAAGGTATAGTCACAATTTAAGTAAGCAGGTATAACAATGGCGTTAAGTACAAATAAAAAAAAACAAACACTTACTACAAACAATTGGCATTCGCTCCAATAGCTTAATAAAATTGGCAAAGTAATTAAAATAAAGAAAAACATAAAAAAATATATTGCGGCAATAATATATTGAGGCTTACCTAAGTTTCGCTGCACGAGATCGATCAAATAACAGTGATGAGCCCACTCGGCTCTCAGGTGTAAATGCAGATGCGTGTGCCGCCTTATCAATTAACGTTGGCGAGCATGATCGCGCGGATGAAATAGGTATACGCGGCGCGTAAACAGGGCAACAAGGCCGGCGCCGACGGCGACCGATGGACGAATATCCCGAGAGAACGTTGTGCACGAGCGGACACACGAAATGCTCAGATCGATACCGGCGCTGCCGTGCGCTCCCTTTCGAGTGCTCAACTAACTGGCTCTGCACAGAGAATGACAGCACTAGAACCGTAGGGGCGCACCGACACCTACAACGGCGGTTGCATCAGAGGTATCCTGACCGTGACGACGTAGCGAATGCGCGGTGAATCGCTCGACGTATCATTTTAAATCATGACGTAGAGAGAATTCATGGAGTTCGTACGGGGCATGCGCGTCGGGACATAGGCGCGGCGGCGCGTAGAGGCGAAGCGACGGAGGCGGAGGTGGCCGCGACGACAGGCGCTAGGGACTAAAGCGAAGCCACGTCACGCCGCCCTATCGTTGCTTGCTGAGGGCCACAGCGAAGTCGCCAAGTGCCGTACTCGCGCGACCTTACCACGCTCCTAAGACGCACGCAATACCATCGATCATCGACACGCACGGCTCGCGACCTCCACACCACTACCTTACAATGCTAACCAACCTACTTTGCATATTGATTCCTTTATTTCTAAAGACGGGTTCGATTTATAAATTACCAAAAAAGTATCTAAAACTTTCAAACGGCGAATATCATTCATTAAATTTATGACGAGCGCCAAGCGGTTTGCACAAACTTTTCTTAAAAATTAAATAGCAGACAAGAACTTTTTATTGCAAAAGGACGAGCAAACAATCCACAGTCCAACTTTTAGTCTGTGTAATTCTTATTCTTTTTTGTTTATTCCCATTATTTTCTTAAAAAGTTATGATATACATTTTGATGAAGTATGCGAGAAAATGCAATGGTGTAGTATGCAATAATATCGTTCTTTAAAATAAATAAATATTTATTTTTCATACTTATCATACAAGGCAAATATTATATGTAAATTCTTGCAATATGACAGAATATTCTAATATTAGTAAAAAAAAAACTACCTGCGACTTCATTTGTCTGAAATCTTTGGTATTCATGATGATTAACAGAGATTTAACAGAGGCATAATTAGTATATAACCGACCATGAAGTTTATAGTCGAACACCATAAACCTCATCGACTAATATCCATATATAAAACAATTTTGGAAGCAATTATTATTAGTAAAGATAAATAAGAAAAAAACAGGACGTATACATGTACGTATGTCTGTTTATATCTTCACGGCAGTGCTACTATAGCACAATTAACTATACTGTCACTGTGTAATCATTAAAATTATCAGGAAAAAACTTCGCATAGTTTACTTGTGTGACCCATTAGAAATTTGAAATAGAAGCGGACAGTACGATATTTTATCGAGTAAAAATAAATTTAGATCAGTATCAATGAATAATCATATGTACCTACAAAATGAGGTGAATCGAGTTGAATCGAGGTAAACGAGTGCAAATAAAAACTACGATTAGAATTCGTGCTATGAGAATATCGTACAGGCGTTATGTTATCGTGTAATATATGTTATAAAACTGCAAAATTAGATACTTATATCCAACAAAATTATATAAATCCGCAAAAACTAGAAATTGGAATGAAGATTACGGAAGAATTTGCTCGGAAATATATACATGAAGTAGAACTATCGGTTTTCACGTAATTAAGCCATGGAATTTACTTATTGCAAATACTATAACTTATAACTATAAAAAAACTGAAGCCATGAAATGAATTAAGTGAACCCAAACTCAGATTATTGTTACCCAATTTCCTCTGTTATGCAATTTCCGGCTCAATCGTTAGCTCAATTCTATAATAATATTACATTATTACTCAAATTACCTACATATTAACAAAGTTTTAATTCGATACTAGAATTAGAAGTGTGCAAAACGTTTAAATATTTCACAAGCTGAATGTGGACACTGAACATGACATTTAAATTATTCCTTTCCTTCCAAAACTTTCACTCAGCACGTTTTTGCAGGGACAGACAAAAAAAATTAAATACGATACGTACTCTTTATTATTCACTCCAAAAAATTTAAAGTAGAAAACTTACAAGAAACAAACATTAAAAATAATTATAATAATAATGCTATAAATGGTCGATTTGTGATTAGCCGTCACCAGAGTCGCATATAAAAGCTTGTATTTTATTGGTTGATCTCTAAACCTCGATAGAGGAGAAATTGAAGGCACCTCTTTTGAATGCTCTAAGGACTCTTTTGGTAACATGATATTGCAGGTGAAACTATAGTTTAGCGATATTTAATCTTCCTTTACTTGGGATATTAAACTTTTCGTGACGAATCCTTGAAAGACACGAACAAAAGTTCTAATGTACCTTAGATCCTATGTATTTTACCTTATGCACATCGTCAACATAGACAAACATAAAGTAGAAATTTAAGTGTAGTCGCTTTGATCTGCAATGTGATAGCTGATATTTCTAAAAAAAAACACAAAATATACCGTGTTAGAGCGATATTATCTGACTAAATTGTAATGTCCAAAACCTTCGTATTAATTGTACAAATTATAATGTATTAAATAGCAAAATAGATACACATTTATATGAAGTATATAAAAAGAGTACTTCCCCTACTCTATATTAATTTTCTATAGCAGTTCAAAATTCAGTTATAGTAATAATAAAATCCTCATCCAAAACAGAACATTATAAGTCGAAATATAAAACGATTTGAATTTCATCTAATCTAGAATTTTTAAAAACCTGAATCTGAACGGATTTGAATGAAATTTGATATAGAGAAGAGCTATATCCTGAGTTAATATACAATATTCATCGTATTCGTCATAATTCGTAAAGAATCCTAATTCACGTAGATAAAAATTCACTTTATCCAGGATTCTTTACGCAAAAAAAAAAACTGGTAGAAATAAATACTAAATAATCACATCAATCTCGTCTTTAAATTCAGTCTGTAAAAAGAGTAAACATGTTATAAATTTAGTTCAATTCACTGAATTCACCGGTTCATTACTCTTGTAATGAAAGAGTGAATTAATGCATCAAATATTAATCTGACTGCTGACAAATGTATAGGTACAGTCTACACAAAAAGTCAGTGCCAAAATCTAAATTTCCACAACCACTAAACTCACAACAAAATTAACGCTAGAAATTAAATTAACATCGTAAAAACGTTTCGTTCCTTTCTGTTTTTGAATCTTTAAGATATATGACCGCTCAATTGGCACTTCAACCTGTCGGTTCAATATACGAGGTCTGTCCGGAAAGTTCGTATAAAAGTGTTCTGGAATGCGAGAAAGAGGAGTGGGGAGGCCAGGTAAGCGCAGGACCCCTTCCTTATGTCCCTAACAATGCTTCAGTTCTGGTCTGACCGCCGTGCGGTGCGAACTGGCTTGTCACGCCATCTGTGAAGTTACCTCTTAACGAAACCCCGTCGGCATGGAGCCCGCTTCCGTTGAAGAGCAGCGCGTCGTAATCAAGTTTCTCTCGAAACTCGGCAAGAATGGCCGTGAAATTTTTGCCGATCTCAGAACAGTTTATGGGGATGATGCTGTGAAGGAACCAACCGTCCACAAGTGGCTAAAAAGATTCAGAGAGGGCCGAGAAAGCGTTCAAGATGACCCACGTTCAGGACGTCCTTCCACTTCACATTCCGACGAATTCGTCCCTCCAGGCCAGACAGTTGATGGAAAATTCTACGTCGATGTGCTCAGACGCCTCCAAGCTCGTGTGGCACGAGTTCGTCCAGAATTGGCGCGAGAGGGGCGTTGGATTCTTCACCACGACAATGCCCCTGCCCACACCTCTCTTGTTGTCCGTGAGTTTTTGAGTAAAAATTCCATTACGGTGACCGAACACCCCCCCTATTCGCCGGATTTGGCCCCGTGTGACTTCTTCTTGTTCCCAAAAACCAAATTGGTACTTCGGGGGCGGCATTTGGGGGACATAAATGAGATAAAAAAAGCTACGACGGGGCAGCTGAGAAACCTACAACCAGAGGACTTTCAAGGAGCCTTCTCACAGTGGAAACGGCGTTGGCACAAGTGCATTATGTCACAGGGGGAGTACTTTGAAGGGGATAAAATTGATTTACCTGAATAATTGTAAAATAAAATTTTTAAAAAACTTTTATACGTACTTTCCGGACAAACCTCGTATATACTACCTGATATGGCAAGCGTTGTTTTACCTCCTACCATCACAGATCGAGCTCATTTTTTCTATCAGGACAATGTGCCAAATTGAAAACAACAATACACATTTTCGTTAAAATCTGTTAAGCAATTTCGCAGATTAGCGTAATTAGATAACAGAGATCGTGACATGCGATTTTTATATATGTAGGTGTACAAGGGTTTAAAAGATTATTATTAAAATCATGAATGTATTCATCGATTTTAGGCGCTGACTGTACTTTACTAAACCCGGTGCAATTAATTGGAACTCAATTGTTAATTAATCCTATTTAGTATTCAAACATTGATAGGTGATAATGTTATTGTCGATCAATGACATATTCTATTTCTAACAAAGTTCAAAAAGATAAAGAAAAATATACAATCCAAAAGAACGTTTACTACATAAATAGATTTTAAACGACTTTTAAAAGTTCCTAGATTGGCCTGCATTTTTAAGGTTCCGTGTCAAAATGGTACAAAGGAAACCTTATAATGCGACATTCTCTGCCTATCCAAGCGCACAGCGCTTTATCTCAGAAACAACAAATGAAATTTGAACTGGTTTCTGGTATAGTTGACCAACAGATATTGCAAAAGAAATAAATGAACAATATCTTCATTTCTAGTGAGATTAAAAAGGATACTATAATATATATATTTCAAAATGATCCAGTAGGATCATAGCAGCCAATTCATATGATAATCTACTTAATCTAATAAGTCAAAGTGGAGTATCATATGAAAGGACTTTCTTTGTACATTATGAAACAATGTTTTACCAAGTACATTTACATATGCGAATATTAAAGGAAATACTTTTTTCGTTTCTAACTAGCACAATTTTCAAGAAATAATCGAAAAACATAAGTTTTTCGATTATACGCATAAGCGTTCCAGTTTTAAACTACAATAATAGACCAAAATAATAATTTCCGAATTTTAATATAAATAGTAATAACTATTTAACTAAGGTGTTTATTTCACATAAGAAATACAAAAATAATGCTGTAATACTATACGGCATTAACCTCGCCATTGATTCAAATTTTATTGTGCAATAAATAAATACATGCGTGGTCCCGGGATAGAATGGGTCACGCCTTTCCCGTAGAAGTCGTAAAAGGCGACTAAGAGAGCTCAATATTTGAAGGATGGACAGCAGTACCCCTTCAAAAACATCCTAAAAGCCTAACTGCGACAGCCAAAGCGGCTGCCAAGCGTGGCAATTACTGGCAAAGCTCCCTATGGGGAAGGCTTATGTTCAGCAGACGGTGAACAACTGAAATGAAATGATGAATAACATTAAGTACACTCGTATGTTACGTATGACGTAGGCTGTCAATTCAAAACCC